GCCGATTCCGTTTACGCTTGTGTTTAGAGGGACGCTTTAGCTCGGTGCTTTCAACTGTCTGTGAAGAACGCATTTTTGACTACAGCTGGGCTAGACTGATCGATTTTGGTTGATAAAAAGCAGGGAAAAGATAACTAACGAGTTGACATTAAAGCTTATCAATAGCTTTAAGTTTAATTAAGCTTAATGTGTGCAGGCCGGCATAACACGATGAATGAATTTGGTTGCCATTAAAAGTGACTTCATAGCCTTTAACATCAGTCAATAAATTTTGAATAAATTTCAAAGGCAGCGTTTCTAGACTTTGTGGAACTAACTTTCATTCCATTAGCTTTTGAGAACAGTATAACGTTGAATCACTTTGCCAACCCTATGAAGTTTGCACTTAGCTCGTATTAAAACCCTTTGACGCCCAAGTAGCCATATACGGCCACTTAATTAATGGTCGTGCTTTTTGTACCACTTGTGAAGTCATCAATTTAAATGTCACCAGATATTATTGATAAGCAGATGGTAGTGCTAGGCTAGGCCTTTCCCCACAATGGTCAGGTTTAGATATCGACGACATTCCGACGTCGCAAATAGAAAAACAACGTTATCAGTTTTGGTTCAAAAACGGTGGTAAAATGGTTCACTATGCCTATGATTGATCAAGGTCTATTTCTAGGCTTCGCCCATAATTAACATCCAACTTTTCACGGCAGCCAGAAAGAACATGCAACGCAAAAGGTAGCTAGAGTAAAAGGACCGAGAAAACAAGAAAGGAAAGGGGCAACAAACAAAATTTGAAAACGGTTAATTACAAAAAAGTCCAAATTTTGGCTTATGCGCATGCTCAGAATTGAAATATTGCTCAATTTTGTACCTAATCCTCGAAAAATCTCTCCTTTTGGTAAAAAAAAAAGTTTTCTTAGCAAAACTTAGGCTTATTTAGCGTCATGGCAGCCAAAAAACCTGACTAAACGGTTGAAAACGGTATTTTTTGGCGAAAGTTTGGTATTCAAAGGGTTAAAGAAAAGAACAAATTTTCTCCAAAACTTTCTTTTTCTCCATAATTCCGTCCAATTCACCATTCTCAGCCTCTAACGAGCAAAATCTGGCTCGACGAAGGAGTTCATACATTTTTGGTGAACCGAGCTGGAGGTCTGTATGGGAGAATTTTGACCGAAGTCGTGAGTACAGACCGAACGCAGTAAGGTCTGTACACACGACCGAGGTCAAGATTCCCCCACACAGACTGACTAAGCTCGGTTAATAAGATGTTTATTATATGGCAAAAAAGAACAATTTAATTCGTTTAATGTATCTGTTTTGTAGAGAACTGACATTTTGCATGCGAATGGCGATGAGCTGAACTTAATTCTCCCAAAGTTTGCTCGTCCTCTTGACATTTTCGTTTTCTCATCAGGCGTTTTGGCACTTCGATAACTAAATATTGTTAGAAGGAAGTAGT